GGGGAGCACGCTCTCCGGGAGCCACAATCAGCAGACCCAGCCAGCATTCATCAGGGGACAGCGCAGAACGCAGGGCGCCGTCCCGCTCTAACGTGGCATGGCCCAGCCCGTGGTGCAGCAGTAACGAGGCTCGCAGCGCTGGAGGCCCCATGGAAGGTCAGGGCTTGGTCCTGGTCATGCCTGTGATCCTAGCTTTCTGAGAGGCTGCGTGGAGGTCCGTGGGTTGCGGGTATTTCTCTCTCTTTCTCACTCTGTCTCTGGTGAAAAAAAAAATTTAAAAAATAAGCAGCAGCCACAACAGCATTAAGAATAGAGAGCAACAGGCCAGCCTGGGCACAGTAGTTAAGGCACTGGATCCTGCATGGTCAGCTGGGTGGTTCAAGTCTCTGACCTGGCGGCTTAAAACACATACCAGGTGTGTGCATGCAGGCCCCAAATCCTGAAAAGAGGGTAAAATGGAGAAGGGGTCACGGCATGACTACACCCCATGGGGGGTTGCTTTATCCTTTTTCCTCTTTCTCTCTCTCTCATCCCCACCCCCTGGCAAGCGCAGGTATCCTCTGGCAAAGAAAAAAAAAATGAAGAGCAAAAAACAACATTTCATCATTGATCCTACCTGCCGCTAGATTTTTTTTGAGAGATTTTTGCTATAGGGTGTACACACTCACCAAAGAGACAGAGACAGAGAAAGTGAGAAATCACCTCCCGGTAGGGATGGCCACACCACAATCCCTTCTCCATTCTCCTCTTGGGATTTTGGGCATGCATGCACACACACCCAGCATGAGTTTAAGCCCCCAGATCCGGGACTGGAACCACGGTCGACCATGTGGGAATCCAGCAACGTAACCCTAACCATTACACCATCTGCTGATACCACTTGGTATTTTTTAAATATTTAAAATAAATATAAAAGATAAATGAAATACACAAAAATAACATATTAAAGAAGTCACCGCTCCTTTTACAAGAAGATCTACCAGTTTCCTTTAAGCACTGTGTCCCTGATTCCATTTCAGGGTGACTAGGTCTTGGCTGGTTCGTGCAGTGTTACTAAAAAAATCCAAATGGTGGCTGCCATTTACAGATAGGGTTTCGACATTAATTCTTAACTGGGGGGGCCTTGATGCCGAAGGACCTAACAGCTCCTGGGAACTGCAGCCCTCAGGGAAGTGGTGCCCATCCCCAGCGTCTCTACCATGGTGAGGTCAGGGCTGGGCCGTGAAGACCAAGCCTGCTTTGCTGTCTCCCCAGGTGGCCTCCCAGGCAGCCCACACTGGCGTTGGGGGTCTCTGGCTCAGGGCCCCTCTAGATAGACGTGACCCTGTCATGGGGACTTCTCCAGGTCCTGCTTCTCCTAACTGCCCGATGGAAGGGCACGCGGGTACCGGAGCAGGACAAAGAGCCCAGAAGCTCGGCTCTGTGCGCCTCTGCCCATGGCGTGATGCGAGCACGTGGCCTGGCCAGCCCTGCAGCACACACGGCCTCACCTGCAGCGCTCCCCGTCTCTTTCTGCTTTTTGTTCTCGGCTAGCTGGACACACCGGTAATCAGTTCTCGCTGAGCCCCCACTTTCCTGAGACCAAAGAGAAGCATGTCAGTCACTCGGCCTGAACAGCACAGGGAGGCGGCAAGGTGACTACGGGAGGTGGGAGCCTGCCTCTGGACACCTCGGAGCTCCACAGCGGCTCCTCCTGAATCCCGGCACCAGCACACCAAGAGCAAACGCTACCCCCAGCTACGGGGACAGCTGAGCGCGCCGAGGCTGGCCATGGACAGTCCTAGCGCCACCCAGAGCAGCCTGAGACCTGCAAGGTATCCCACAGGGCTGACGGACAGCCAGCACGCTTCTTCCTAGGACACACGCGGGGCGCTCTGCGCAGCACTCCTGACGCGCTCACACACAGCAGCCCTGCTCAGCACACAGCGGGGCCAGCTCCTGGAGCTGCCACGGCCACCGCACCAGCGGCAGGTGCTACGCCCAAGGTCTTCAGACAGCAGGCTTCATTACCGAAGGCAGGAAGTGTACCGAGGGAGCCCGACGGGCAGCACTCACAGGACGCACCCTGCCCTGCTGACAGGCAAGCTCCTGAGAGGAGCGGCTCAGCACTCGGGGCCAGAGAGGGGGACAGCCCTCCGCAGCTCACAGCGTACCTGGAACCCATCCACCACACACCACTTGAACTCTGAGAAGCACGCGGGCCCAACTTCACACAGCTAGCAAGAAAACGAACAAGGGTTAGGATCGCAGTCCACTGGTGCCCCCACCCCACCCGCCCTGCAGACCCGCAGACAGAGCGGACGCCAGCAGCTGCAGCTTCCCAAAGCACCCAAGCTGCCCTCCCCTGCTCTGAGTTGCAGCCCCTCCTGCCCCGTCCCACCGTCTGGCTACACAGTGCAGTGTGCAGCCCCAGCAGAGGTTGGCCAACATGGCTCTGCACGGGCAGACGAGGTGCCAGAGGTCGCGCGACGGGGACCAGCCAAACTTCAATACTTAATTTTGTCAAAACATCTGTGGCAAAGTAACATCTGCGACAGTATAAACATTGCCAACAAATTAAACCTGTGCCACCAAGAACAGTCATCCTGGGTCGTTCCCACTTTTTTTTCTCCCTAGCCTCTTTAATTAAATTACCTTAAATTAAACCACATTGAACGTATGCTTGACATAAATATAGCTCAAGTACACTAACTGTCCACATCCAAACTACAGCCGCGCTCTTAGGGCCCTCCAAGAGCAAAGCTCCTAGCCACTCCTCCCCACTTCCTCAATTCTAACTGCAAAGAGGTTTCGGCATGGCTTTAAATCTCCGTGACACCTTTAAAGGTGGCTTAGGTCCAGATTCCTCCTCGAGGACTCGTCACTAAGCGAAATGTGCAAAGGCAAAGCATTCCGACCTTATGAAACTCCCCAACTTTCCTGAAGAAAGACACACGTAATCACTGAATCACACCACTCAGAAGGATCTTAGAAATCATCTAGCCAAATCCCCTCACTTTAGAAACAAATGAGAATTTAAGGCTCAGCTAGGTTAAGTGATTTGCTCAAGGTCAGCTGCAGGCTCGAGGGCAGACTCAGTTCCAGACTTGTAGTCCAGGGCTCCGTCCTTTGGCAAACGGTGAGCGGCGTCTGCACAGAGAGGCTGAACCGGGCACCCCCAACAGCAGGCCAGGCAGCTAGGCAGTGGTGCCCGACGGGCTCCGTACCAGGTAGAGGCCGTCGGCGTCCACGCTCAGCTCTGCGTCCTGCTGAGTGCCTGGTCCCTCTGCTGGGCCGAGGAGTCCAGACCGGGGCAGCCCGAGGACGCCTTCCTGCCGCCCGACCACCTCGGGGCCAGGAGGCACATCCCGGCCCACCTCGATGGGAGCCAGTGGTTCAGGGACACCGACATCTTCCCGGGGGCTGCTCGAGGTTGGAGTGACAAAGTGTGCTGTCAACGTGCCACTGGAGGCCAGAGCGGGCGGGTCCTGGCCCAGGTCCTTCACAGGCAGAGCCACCAGGCAGCCGAAGGAGCCTGCGCTCACAGTGGGAATGCCGTCTGTGCTGAAGCTGCCCTGCTGGAGAGCTGCAGCCGCTGTGCTGAGAACGAGGGGGCCGTCCAGGCCTGGAGGAATGTCACTGTGGGCCACAAGCACCAGGGGGTCCATGGACCCCACGGAGCCAGTAGCAGCAGGGAGGCTCCCTCCCAGAGAGGAGCGCACAGAAGAGACGTCTACAGTCAGGATGCCGGAGCTCAGCGCCTCCTCCGAGCCGGCCACGGGGACGCTGCCGCCAGCGGGGGTGTCGAAGAGTGCAGCCAGGTCTATGTTGGCGAGCTCGCTCTGGCCCGGGCTGCCCAGTTCGCTGCTGGGCGTGAGCGAGCTTGGGGCTTCCAGCTGAGGTAAGACATCTGGAAAACGAACGAGTACTCCGGTTATTTCAGGACCTTGCTCACACTCAAGAGGTGAGCAGGCAGCCCCAAAGGCAGCCTGCTGTTCTCCCTGCACCCCTGCTGCAGCACTGAAGGGACCCACCATCTGCACGTGGCCGGCCTGCGTACACCGCCAGACACGTGGGCGCTAAGCTGCACTGCGAGCCGCCACTCTCCGGGGCGGGGCTTTCTCCAGAGATGGCAGCCGGAGACACTGGCGCCCCCTAGGCCTCCTGCGCTCTAACAGTGAGGTGACGCAGGGGGGCCCCCGGCTCAGCCTCAACCTCGCATCCTGCGCCCCTGCACTGCAGCAGCCACAGGGCTGAGACGGCACGCTTCCCAGGACCAAGATCCCACCGAGTGCTTTAGCGGCTCACTGCTGCTCTGGGGCTGCTTCTGGAATCTCTTCTACAGAGAGCCGCCGCCACAGTGGGCCTGAGCCAGCGGGGGGCCGAGGCAGTGAGGTGGGCCGGCCTGGCCTGCTCCGGCTCCAGGCAGAGGCGCGGACGCCAACCAGGTCCTGTCCCCTGCCCTGACTGCATTCCCATCTGCTTCCCCTCCTGGGCGACAGGCACCGAGGGCTGAGCTGCCCACCAGCAGAGCTCTGCCCAGCAGAGCGTGGCCCCGGGAGACCGCAGGTGGTTACGCAGGAGTCGTCCACTGTAACAGACCTTCTCTACGTGGGTCAGTTCAGGTCTTCTTCCTCTTAAATGCTTCGTTTTGACTCAATTAAATCAGTCGAATCTCACAATTCTATGGGGGAATGATGACCATTAATGTATTTCAAAGCCTGGCAAGGGGCCAGCAGATGGCATGGCGATTAAGGTGCTAGACTCCCACATGGCCAACCATAGTTTGAGCCCCAGACCCAGCAGCCTGGAAATCACACCAGGCACCTGTGTGTGCATATTTCAAACCCCAAGGTGAGAAAGGAGACGGGATTGCAGTGTGGCCGTCTCTCGAAGACTGATTTCTCACTTTCCTCTCTCTCTCCAGCAAACACACGCGCCCTATGACAAAATTCCTGAAAAAAAAAAACACAAAAATCTTGGGACTACTCGAGCACGCCAAGCAGACGGGACAGCACGGTGGACCTGGGTGAGCATTACTGAGGCTTCTTCCCAGGGAGCTCCTCTGCACGTCCCACAGCGTGGCCGGCTCAGCGGCAGGTCCAGTCCTGCCCCCACCCAGACGACCTAACTCCAAACTCGTACCTTCAAGTCATGAGCGACAGTGTCAACTGCATTTCGTTTTTCAAGGATTACTTAATCATTATTATTAATTTGCTACAGGGTACGTGTGCTCACCAGAGAACGTGAGTAAGCGAGCCAACAGGTCTAGGACTCAAACCATGTCAGCCACGTGAAACTCCAGCGCCCTCACCACCACGCCACCTGCTGGCCCTGCCAACAGTATTTTAAGGAAATCTTCGACACAAAATGACGAGAAGAAAATGCAATCTCTCTCTCCTAGTCGTCACAACACACAGAGGTGACAAGAAACCAATACAGCATCACTTCTTCAGTAAGGAGATCTCGGTAACAGGCAACATTTCAACAGTGACCCTTTGGAGAAACCGGAAACGGGAATCTACGGTGCTTTTCAAAATGCCCAGAAATGCCTTGCCTATCTTAAAAGCTCAGCCCCCATGAAGAGACCACGAATGACCCGAGCCCAAGAGCTGCCGGTCCATCCGCAAGTCCCCCTCCTCACCTGGCTCCTTCCACACCGTCACGGGAGACCTGCCGGTGCGCAAGGCCTAGACGGGACAAGGCACTGCCGGGAGTCCCAGCACACCTCACGCCGCAGACATGTTCACACCCAGGGATCAGCAAGCACTCCTCCCCACCGGAGTCTGGCCAGTGACGAAGCCGCGAGGGTGAACCGACAACTCGGCCAGGGCCCACACAACCCTGGCTCCTTCCACACCGTCACGGGAGACCTGCCGGTGCGCAAGGCCTAGACGGGACAAGGCACTGCCGGGAGTCCCAGCACACCTCACGCCGCAGACATGTTCACACCCAGGGATCAGCAAGCACTCCTCCCCACCGGAGTCTGGCCAGTGACGAAGCCGCGAGGGTGAACCGACAACTCGGCCAGGGCCCACACAACCGTGTAGGGTTGCGAGAGGGTGTGGGTTGGATGGTGGGGGGCCCCCCCGCCAATGACGGCCGGCGGGCACCATCGCTCTGTCAACACAAGACTGAGGATGACAGACGCCACGACTCGCACGCCCAGCCCTCCTGGGTAACCCAAGTCGGTGCGTCCAGGGAGGGCAGGGAGAGACAGAGGGGAGGGGCTGCACGGCAGGGGTTACAGGGCACCAGCTCACGGTCACAGAGGGCAAAAGGGAACGAAGGTGACACCCTCCAACGCATATTAGACAGGGCTGATTCCCCTGCCCTGGAGACACTCACGGGCCCAGAAGACACACGACCCGATTCAACATTAAGCCAGATGGCCAAGAGGGCAGCTGCAACCCAGTGGGGGCACTCGGGGCCCCGCCTGAGAGGGGACACTGCTGGGGTTTGAATGTCCCCGGATTGACGTGCTAAGATTTGGCTGTAACCAAAGTGAGAGGGTGAAAGCTAACCGAGCCGTGTACAGAAGCTGGGGGTTCTGGGGAGGCCTGAAACGGCCTCCAGGGCATGGCTGGTGCCATCTGCGGCAGGCCCACAGGTGCGGGGCTGACTCGGGACACAGGCGCATGCTCCCTGCCCTCTCCACGCTGCTCAGCCAGAACGCCCTCAGCAGACACGCCTGAGGACCCCGGCCCTGCGCTGCTCAACCAGAACACCCTCAGCAGACATGCCCGAGGACCCCGGCCCTGCGCTGAGTGAGCCCTAGCTCTATTCTTGCCCAGACCCGGGGGCTTTCCGTCACAGCAGCAGGACATACCGGACACCTGCGGACCTTCCCCTGCCCAGCCGACCACTTCTCCAGCTCTGCAGCCGCCCGGGAACAAGGCACTGTGCTCCGAGAACCACTCGGACCACGCTCCGCAATGACGAGGGACCTGCCTGCTTTCCAGGCCTGCGTCAAGTGGGCGCCCACACTGCCCACCACACAGGTCTTAGTGCGGAGGGCCCCAGACGCTGAGCCCAGGTAACTCCGTGGCAGTCAGCATTTCACCGCTGGGCCCCAGCAGGAGCAGTGGACCCACTTGGCCGGGAGAGTGGGCACAGGGGCGTGCCGGGAAGGCCCTGGTGCCCCGCTTGCTGGCTTGGAGCAAGTCTGGGCCCCGGGGCTGCTGGGTGCGGGCCCCCTGCTGACCTCCTCCCAAGCACTGACAACCACTGCGGCCGCTCCTCCCCGGGCCACCGACACACCTGCTTGGCCCCACTCCACTCAGCTCTGGGCTGAGCCTCCAGCCGGGTGAACTGAGCATGAGGGGCAGAGGCAGGCGCAAGCCTGAGTGCTCAGGAAGGGCAACGGGCCTTGGAAAGAGAGGAGCCAGAGAAGGGGAGCAGCATGGGTGGCCCAGCAGGAGACTGACCAGGGGATGTATGCTAGTGACAGCAACCAGGTGGAAGTCCGGACGCCCGCCCAGGACAGCGCTACGAGAACAAGGGCAGCCAGAGGCGAGGGAGTGGCGGGGGGCGGGGCGACACGGGCCCGGGCGGG